TTGAATGAACTTGGCGATAGTAGCATGTTGGGCATCTATATTGAGAGCCTCTAGCATGACGCTAACAGCATGGATGCCCATGGTCGAACCCATTCGTTCAACCGCATCCCATTCGACATCGCTCAAATGGGAGTAGCTGTCACGCGTAGCGTGAAAGATTTGGTCATCTTCATCATCCAACATATTCATGTTGGATGTGAACGCGGTCCTTGGACGGACTACGAAGTGCTACCAGGTGTAACGGGGCACCCTGAAGCTTGTACTGGTGACAGTACAAGCTACTTATTCTGATGACAGAATACGGCGGTGTCTCGTAACTTCACGTACACTCGTACGTGCAGAGGAAGACGGTAAGAAGAAGCGAGTACTTGGATAGAGTAAAAAGTAGAACTGTATTTATAATAGTTAATGTCTGCAATAAATCACTATTTATCTTCATCTAACTATGTCTAAATACAAATGTGCATATCAATTATCTGCTCACCACTCATTGCATGCGTCTGTCGTGGCGCGTCTTCGTTGGTTGATATAATGGCCTATATCAACCAATCAGGAACTACTCGTAAGTGCTACAGAATATTTGTCCTTATGACAATATTCTGAGAATATAACTCTCATAGTTATATTCTATTAACAATTTCTTATAAATTGTTATGAACGGTTCACCCCGTTACAGTCGCGTAAAAAATATGCTGTTTTAGTATGCGCGGGGAGCCCGAGAGGCAGCAATGTATTTCCGATTTATTAGGTGGCAGCTTGGCGTCCTAGCCCTTAAGTAACGTTTACTCACTTCAATGCCACCACCATGCGCGACTATTGAAAGTAGTTTTGTTCGGTCTCATCGTTGCTAGAGTGAAGGAATCACTCCAAGCATTGTAATATTTGGGTGCATCCGACAAATTCTTTCGAGTAATACGTTTCCACCCTCTAACGTACACGTTTACGACACAAGAAGGTACAGGTGAAATTTTTGTCAACCTTGCCGATGGACAACTACAGCGTGCCTCGCGTTATACAATGATTTTGCCGAACACGCTCGACAGATTTTGAAGCAATTATTAAATTTATGGTGTACGAGATGATTTATGCATTTGAATTAAATATTCATTCGATTGGACCTCGGAGTACCGTGGCTGTCGTGGTATCATTCGACATAGATTGGCTATTTAATGTGTCAAACGACACAACGGACATGACGTGAGTGAAGTTTTTTACTCATCTGCGAGTTGATTCATCCGATTGGCCTCACGTCAGGGTGGTGAACGAACTCATCGCGACTGGAAGTCAGTGCAAAGACAGCGATGGATTTCTTTCGCTTCTTTCTGTCGCACTAATAGAGCTATATTAAAGGCGATCGAACAGGAGTTCCCATAACACGGCCATTAGTCGAATAGGGGTTGTTGATTCTTCAAGAGACGGTAGAACAGTGGTTCCCAAATACAAGGACATCTGTAGAATATATCAATATCAAGGCGTTCTAGCAGATGCTTTCGCGCACACGCCGCTCTAGCAGGGACTCCCAATTATTACTGATGTGGTCAAGCAGAGGCCTTCAATTACACCTGAAGCGGTCGACGACGAGCTCCCGCCTCGTATCGACGAGAATGAACAAAATGTTTATCTGAATGTAAACGACGTGGTAGAGACAAATATCCCAAGTAAAGAGGAGTGTAATTCATCCTACAGCGAAAGCGACGTGCCATTGTCGAGCAGTGCTCGAGACGCAAGCGAAAGCGTACCACAAGAAAGTAACATGCCGATCGCCAAGATGACGACGTCGTCGTCATAACGCTGACGAAAATTATTCTTTAGTGACGGAACCTGTATGCGCTCTTACAAATTAAGGAGATTTTTCACATCGCGGTTGCCAAATTGAGGTATTAAACCAACCGTGCACTTCTATTGAGATCACATCACTATCAGATCTACCTTGAAGAAGATTTCCTTCACGACCTCAAGTCCAAAGACATCGAGCACTGAGCAATGTAGATCGTTTCAGCCGCCGAGGATACTACTTGGTATTTTTCAAGGCTCGTCAAAAGAGCGCTGACACTAAATTAGCGCGCGAAGAACGTTTTACGGTCAGGCTTGGAAAGCCCCTCGTACTTTGGGCAACCCTGTTTGTGATATTGTTTGCGAGTATGCCGATGTATTTCCGTAGAAAATTTTCACTGAGCATCAGTGAATCACGGGGTTCTGCACGAGATAAATCTCGTGCCAGTTTTAAAATAATGCTTTACTCGCCAGTGGACCAAAACACGTGACCATCCATCGAATATGATGATTTTTTAAGGTCGTCGAAAGACAGGCTATCATCGAAAAGTATTTTGCCGCATTAAAGTCCGAATTTCTGTGTGAAGAATGCCACCGGCGGTTGGCGCATTCTTCTTGCTTAAACAATAAAGCCACTATCACTGCTCAAACGCTAATTCCACGCAAGGACACGGTATTGGGTGCCATAGTCCGGCAGCGGGATTTTGAACACCATCAATCTAACAGATGGGTCTTATCAGATCTTCAAGTAGGACAGCTACATTTCGTTCACTGTGGTCATCAAAAGTATCGGGATACTTTGGGAGTAGTTAGTCATATCACAACGCCCTTAAAACGCTCCATTTACGTTTTAACGGATAGAGACATCCGTGATTCACCCGCTAAGCAATTTTGCACTAAGCTATGTCAACACTTTTTTTCAACAATCGCGCTTAGCGATATTTTAGCTTTACGGAGGTCCAATTTCGGCAAATTTCGGCACTTGAAATAGGCTGTAATGTAATGAGCAAGATCAGCCTTACGCAAATTATGAGAGGTGTGTCTTCTGTGCTCTTTTGATTTTAGTACTCGGACGCCATTTTAGCAAGAAAGCTGCATGTGCTTATCCTGAAAAAGTGTCGTCTATATGTTCCTAACTTACGCTCAGGAATTCAACTGAACTACGTCAATGGCTTGGCTTATAAAGAATTGCATGGTATACGATGAATTATGCCAAGCTGATATAGCCACTATTAATACTGTTGAAGAAAGACGTAGTTTGGTCATGGCTGGCAGAACGTCAGTCTACCTTCGAATCCGAAAAAAGAGAGCTGGCCAAGGCATATGTGATAATGTAGCTTGATAAATCCAAGCCATTCACGTCGTCTGTGATGCAAGTAATTTACAATCAGATGTGCCCTCATGCAGTTTAATGATGAGGGCCGAGAGAGCGTCGTGAGCTTTCAGTCACGACATATGAATCGTGCAAAAAGAAATTATTCGGTAAATGACAAGGAACTTTTGGCTATTCGTTACGTGCTAATCAATTTTAGAGAATGTTTGCGTTGCGAGAAGATGTTTTAGGTCGATACAGATAGCGCGTCATTGCGTGCCCCGTCAATACTACCCACTTACCCCAGCGTATGGCACAAAAGTTGCCATATTTCTTAGATGATTTTGTAATCCTTTACAAACCTGTAATGAATTAAAACATCCTGAAGTACTTTTCCAATGTCCCAATCATGATAATCTACGTGAAATGTGCCACCAGCCAGGCAGTACTGGTGGAGAAGACGATGACATTTGTCTATTCTGTGCTGAACTTGGGCTCAAAGAAATGATTTTGACACATGTGCTGTCAATTAGGTACCATCTCGCTACGTCATATGCGAATGATTATTTTACACGGCAAATAGTAATTACGTTTGACCCCCTAAAGGTGTCTCTCAAAAAGCTGAAGAACCAAATGCACGTAAATATTAAGCGTATAATGCTTCAAGGTCCGCTGGTGATGTATAAGATGAACGTCTGTGTCCCACCGCGCGTCTTCATTCCTGCTGATGACAACGTCCGAGCACAATTGTTGCATAAATTTATGCCACTTTTGCTGGTAGTTATCGGGTCGTGAAAAGATAAAAGCAGCCGTTTCTTGTGTATCTTCCTGGCCGCGTATGTAAAAGTACATCTAGAAATGAATTTGCTTCTGTAAATATTCCAGCAAGTAAAGCCCGCATCGTCTTTACAAATTTCATATCTACCGCTTACGATTGCCACGGAAGCCTGGCGTTAGGTCGGCACGGTTTTTATCTTTTTTCATTCACTCGATGTACAAAATCGCACAGGCGCACGGTTTTTAAAGATCAAGTTTGCAAAATAATGCATTGTGCTCCAGTCTCTGCATACTTTACAGCGGATATGACTGCAAAGATCGTTCTCGACAAAATGTCTGAAAAAACAAGGCTTGCTAAAATTAAAAATTTCGGACCACGACCTGCATTTCACGTCATCTTTTTACAGCAGATTTGTTTTAACTATTGGGAACGCGATTGATCATTCCTACGGCAGCCCATTCATAGACGTATGGGCAAACGGAGTGCGTGAACAAAGTGTTAAATAATTTACTTGCACGTTTTTGACATAGTTTTCGTCGTGGACTGTGTTTATCCCACTCGCTAAATTTGCAAATTACAACGCACTATATGAGTCAACAGTGTCGACGCCAATTTTGTGAATAAGCGAAGCGCTTCTTGATCTTTTAGCTTTAAACCAACCAATTATTTAAGCTTAGGTGGGGAGTATCTGCTTTTTATTACACCGAAAAGTGCGATTTATTACGTTACAGATAAGACTGATGCCGATACAACTTTTGCTCTTAAATTCGTGGCCAATGACAAATCCAGTACAGACGCGATGCATCCTATCGTGCTCTCGTCGCTAATTTTTCTTTTTAAGAGTCCGTTTCACATGTAAGTTTGGCTGCTGTGACCATAAACCACGACAAGGCATCACGCTTTTTTTACGTGATGCTCTCCAAGAAGCAGTTGATAAAGAAAAGTAGAACACTAACAAGAGACGTTGATGAAACACGCTAAGTTTTATAGAAGACGAAAGAGTCTTGTTATCGACGTGTGGATTACCAGACACATATGTGGAGAACTTGGGTGCTAATATATTAGCGCCAATACATATTAGTCCGTTTCGATTTTTTGGCACATGGAGATGCTTACACGATAGATATACCTAAGACTATGCGCTTGCACCCGACGCTCAATGTGGGGTGTCTTAAGGCTTACCTGCTGGCGATTTTCCCATACGAACCTTCCCCGCTATTCCGTGTCGACTCGATGTACGACATTTCTTATAACGACGCTGACGTTGACTGGTACCAGGTACTGCACGAGACAGTGCAGGCTCACTTTGATAGGCTTTACCGAAAGCAGCAGTCTGAAGATGGCTTTGACGCTCCACCAATCCCTGCTGCTCCCGCTGAGTCGTTTCGTCAGCGTATCGCAGCTGCTGCACGATCGTAAGTTCTCACGACCATCTCAAGGGCCTTGATTAGCCTGTAATCGCCTATTTAGTGTCGGCACGAAGAAATTGTAGCTCGTCGTTGACGATAAAGGCTCCAGATTATAAGAATTCGCGCCCAACCCAAGAGACATTCCGTCGTGATGCTCCTCTTCCCTTGGAGGGTGAATCGGTTGAGCAACGTTGGATTGTGGGTCGTATCATCGTTCATCAAGGCCAAACGTCTCTTGCGCCAAGTAAGGACTTATTGCCACTGAGGATTCAAAGCGCGATGCATTATAAGGTCCTCTGGCTGGGTTATTTACCAACGGATGACACGTGAGATCCACGGAGTGTGTTGGCTCACGATGTTCCTCAAGTCGTTATAGAGTAACCAGCCATTAAAAAGTTGGTGAATGCAACCGACGCTGTCAACTCATCGCATATTTTCGCGAGCGTAACAGATCGCGAGATCAAATCGATGACAATCTCTCGAGAGACTTTGAGGTCAACTACGAGGCTCTGGAGTATTGGGTAACTTGAAGGTGAATAGAGACCATTCGAACGACCACGGTGACCATGTTTATATTCATCACGACTGCTTTACCACCTCCAATGATTACCAGGGCGCTATCATGTGGAACAGCGCAGATAATTGGATATTTGAGGGGATCCTCTTTAGCTGGTCAATAAATGGTCGGGTGTGCTGGCTCACACCTCGTGCACACAATAAGTCGTCCCATTCCTGCAATTTTTGAAGCGGTCTCTGCCCGTTGCAAGATGGGCACAATATACGGGAATGGACGTAACACATGTATAATTCATCAGGAATCAGACGAATCATACGTTGGCGTAAACTGCCATTAGCGTGTACACCATTAGCGTCTTCGCAGCGCTCAATCTAGGACATGAAGGATGTTTATTCACGTCGACTAACTTGCCATATTATTATGAATACGCAATAAGATCGTTGCAGTACTTCTTCAGTGAATGCGTATTTCGTACTTTGCCTCGCACAGTACATCATCCTTTGAAGAGGATATTCATTGACATAAGTGATTAAGGTTGCTCAGCACCGTCGAGACTGTACAGGCACACGGCTTCAATTCATCACCCATGGTCTCTAACGCCTATCCTCATCATATCTTCTGATTACCCAAGTGTTCTTTGGGATCGCGTCACGTGGGCACTTATAATTTATGCTGCTCAGCTGTGAGTTACTTAGCAGTTTCGAAGACCAAAACGATATGCCGTCGGAGTTCTCGTTGTTTTTCTTGTTTTACTTTTTGTTGCAAAGATAATCTTTGAGGTATGACGCTTACGGTACGGTAAGTTCAAGTTGAAGAGGGGAGAATGATTAAATGGGGCAGCATGTTATAATAAGCCCTAGATTTTATTAAACATGTGCATATATCGAGAAAAAGGAGCATCTATACCGCGGATACTGCGCGTCTATTTATGTGGTTCTCATGAGCTAGGAAACATATTCGCACTTTTTGCTGATAAAAAGCACAATATAAAAGCACAGTTTATTTGCCATGTAAATAAGAGCTCATCATCACGCTATTCATATTAAACGATGGTAGCGCACCTCAACACATCATCGGCGTCATCGGCACCAACCAAACCTTCACGCTTACGTATAGCCTGGTGTACACAGAATGAGAGTAAAATACGCTTAGGTGATGCAGAAGTAAAACAGCCTTTGAAGTGATATTGAGAAAAAAATAGCTTTGTACGTTGCACTTAATGTTCTCGTATCCTGTATGCAAAAGGGATAAAGTAGGAAGCTATTCACACTCCCCTCCCTTATCTATATACGTGTTATGTAAGCATTTTTCAATTTGCATAGGTACAAAACCTACATGTGGCATAAGGATTGCGATAGCCGGAGCATTTCGAATTTGCAGGTCACCCAATACAAAAAGGAAATCGTGCGATGTTGTCGAGAGAAGTTCATGGCCTGTTATCTTGGCAACGATTAGCATTTTTTGTCACAAATTTTTTGGCGATAAAGTACGCATGATGCCCTGGATTAGTAAGAATGATCACCGACTAGCGTTCTTATGTCTGACGTTCGACATGCAACTCGATAGTTTATTTACTTAATTTAAGTATAAATTATGGAAGCTATTCTGTGCGCAGCATTTTACCAATACTCACATCCAATCTATAGAAATTTTAAAATTGCAGGGTAAAGCTTCCGGTGTTTGTGCGCAAGGTTGAATGATAAGCTTTTTTAAATTGTACAATCCATGCGTTCTTCTGTAAATAATTTACGTAGGTGTAGCCCGCACGTATTAAATGCGATATAGCCTACCCCCTCCCTCACAGGTATAAAGGCATCTACGGAGTCACTCTTTGGCGAGGTCACTGACGTAATGCACGCATGTGTTCGTATTAAAATTGATCGAAGGTGTACATACTTACATGAGCAAATGCTGTGTGATTATAAGCAAGGCCGATAGCGTCGCCCAAGTATACTGCACTGGTTATATACGGAGAGAATTATAGCATCATACTCATTCTTTAGTAGTGCTGCTGTTGTATTGTGTTTCGCAAATTGATTCAATTTTTCCAGCTGAATTCCCTATATCAAAAGCGATCCCTCAAGCTTGCTCCCCAACCTTATCGATGACAATATGAACTTTACTCTCTGCCAAGGTATGTATAGGCGTGTTTCAAAGTGTATATCAGTAAAAAAAGAGCAAGCTTATATTGAAACTTTCGTACAGACTTGTTGACGTCAGGGATAATTAGACCTTGCCAACATCTCTTATCTGCTGAACCCCTGTCGCTCTATTTCGATGAATGTGAAAACCACTGGCGACCGGTGCAGCCGTCAAAGCCCGTCTATACTTGTCAAATGTGTTGGAGAATGTGTCGGCAGACTACATCAATGCAACGGACACAGACGAGGAGACACATATATAAGAATGTGACCTAGACCTACACAATGAAGTGCGCTACTCAATGACGAGGAGACATATCGATAAGAGTAGGACCTAGAGCTACACAATGAAGTGCGCTACTCAATGTAGATGCAGGAACGTGGAAGACCTGTTCGTGCTTTATAAAGTCGTTGGCGAAATCGAGAAAAACGAATCGTCACTCTTTGAGCATGCTTAAGTTACGCTTAACTTTTCCAGGCGTTGTAAAATGCATAAATTGCAATCATACCGGTATGAAAAAAAAATTGAACGCATCACAAGCTAACAACCTCTGCACATTCTATGGGTCTTCCGTCTTGACGAAGCGACGCATTGGGGTCATGACAAACACGTGGCATATCCCATAAATTCTTTTAAGTACTTTCGGATCCCACGTACATTTCATTGATGCGCAGGAAGACAAAAAGACCCGCCCATTCTCGCCAATTTAGTAACAATCCGCACTATGCATTTCAGAAAGATGCGTCGAAATAATGAGAAAAAGTAAAGCGGTCGTTGGTGATACAGGTTAATGTTAAACAGACGTATGTTCTACTTGTTGGTCATTAAGATAGATTTAGTCTTGTCATAGGTCCGTCATGAAAACTCATGTCACTGATCTTAATCTAGCGAAGTACACTATGGTTAAAGACATCATCCATAAACTTCACTTAAATTCTCCGCGCTTGAGATGAAAAAATAGCGGCAGTCAAATCGAATGTGAAGCGGAGCAACCACGGCTCTAAATTCAGAGAAAGACTTTACGGGTTAAGCCAGTGGATGACGGCTAACAGCCAATTAGTTTTGAGGGCTAGCAGCTCATGAGTTCTAAGGATCTAATATATCAAGTTAAAGATTCGGCTAGTTCTACGGAACTAGCGCGGACTCTATGAGCTATTAGCTCAGACTAATGTAGCTCTAAGGAACTACACGCACAATGTGCAGAAGGGGAATACAGAAGTAAAAGGACTCTCTAACCCACGAAAGTTATAAGGAACTGTTAAACGCAAGATGCGAAAGGGGGAAGTCTACGGACTTCTGCTCTGAATAAGAACTGAGTTTTTCAGATTGTATATTCAGGAATATTCTACTTTAAGTACCCTATATTAGAATAAACTAGAATCAATACAAATGTTAGTATTCGAACTAAATAGATGGTTGGCACATCACTCAGTCATCAGATGATGACGGTACAAGGTACATCCACGGTTATAACCTTAACTCGGAGAACACCGACTAATCCGTATTCTCTATTGGTATAAAATCTAAGGCCAGACTTGTCTCCCATATCACATCTGGGCGGTCTTCAACCAATTTAGCCGATGGCTAGTGTGACCCCATTACACCCTCCCCCACCAGCCTGACGTTACCACAAAATGTCACTCGACTTGTCTCCGCATTGAGGTTATTACTTTGCAACTTGTCAGTATGACCGACCGGGACACCTAACAGACGATAAGTCTCTAGCCAAATTTCTAGGTGTCGAGGAAGTGGACGATAACAGTATTAGTGATGCCACCAATCCGGGGGAGGAGAATTTCGAACCCAGCATATCTTTGCCTGACCGCATCTCAAGTCCGGCACTGATCCGTTCCCTGAACGCTGTTAGCGCAGTCGCGTGGTGCCGCGACTGCGCTAACAGCGCTGGGTGCGATGCCTAACATGGAACCGTCCATCATCATTAACCCACTTGACGAGGAGAAACAACGCATACTCGATCGGGCGGAAAGCGCACGGCGCAAGTCAGAAATTCTGAACACATTTCAGCGACACCGTAATACGCATTCACTCCGCCTGACGTGGAAGAACGCATCCATCAAACAGCTGGCCATACTTTGGCAGGGTGGGCCATTGGCCCTGAGGCGAAAACGCCCACTGAAATCGAATGCCCTAAGGCTCTTCAGAAAAGGTAATTAGAACCTACTGGGATGACCTTGAGTGAGCACCGAGAATACTCCAGAAGCAGGCCAAAGGCACACCGGCTCCACAGATAAAGGGTATACTCGTCTTAGTGTCTGATAGTGAGGAAGACGTCTCAGAGGATAGTGCGTTCACACTCTGTGTACATGGTGTTCGACGCCTCAGTAGTATGG